CTTAAAATTTATCTAAAACCCACTACCTTCCATCGATATTCAACCTGAAGAACCCCCCCCGCTTACTACCCCTATTACTTTATAGAGATGAGTCAGGTTATTGAAGAAATGCGAAATAGAGCCCCGGGTCTCTCGGGAATAAAAAGAAACAAAAAAAGTTCCTACCCAAATTGAAAACGTTTTGGTTAATATTTTTAATGCCATCTTGGCGCAGGACATTTTCCAGGGGTTTTTTTTAAGACTCTAGGATTCTTTCGGGCTAAGCCCAAAAAAGACATCCACCAACCTGGGAACTAAGCCTATATCTTTACTTGAAGTCACTGGAAAATTTTCTTGAGAAAGTTTTTCCCAAAAAAAATGAACTACCTATGGAGTTTAATCATTTTTTTACTGAAAAAAAATTTTGGCTTTAAAACACTGGGGTACCAATCAGAAAAAAAGGGTTATTTTCCGTATTGTAGCAAGTCAAAAACATCGGGGAATTTTGCCCTAATTGCCACCAGAGATTTCAAAAAGCTTTTGATAGTTTTATCAGAGGGTTTATTACAAATCATTGCCCCTACCAGACCAAACTGGACTTTTCTCAATTAATAATAATTTTTTAACTCAAAGAAAAATCATTCCCACCTTTAAGGAGGTCGACAGAGCCTTTTATCCGACAGCTGGTGTCCCACAAGGTTTTTGCTTGCCCAATTCTGTTAAAACTTTATGGAATGCCTTCCCAACCAGATTTAATGATACAATTGTGAGCACTTGCAGAGATGGTTTATGTCGCTCATCAACTCCGGTAACAGGAAAATACAAGTATGAGAGAGTCTTGAAAAAAAAAATACTGAACTTCGTCGAACATCTAATTGGGAAAAGAAATGAATAATTACGACTAATCCTGACAAAGTCCTTGTTAGCACGATAGGATGTTTTGCATCAACAATCGAAGATAAAGGGGGTACTCCATCAGAGGAAACACCTGTACCCATTAGAACCCTAACAAGATCTTGGGATATGAAATAGACAGGCTGCTCCACTCAACATCTCATGTAACTAAAAAGATCAACATAGCCAAAGCCGGTCTTAGCAGTCTCTTTCGATTCAATCAAGCCCCTCCACATGTCAAAAAAAAACTGTATAAAATGATAATAAGACCTATACTCAAATACCCTTGTGTCCCAATGACATTAACAACAAAGACCAACATGCTACAGTTGCAACGGGTCCAGAATAGAGCTCTTTGCTTCATTACGGGTACCAGGAGGAGAGACAGAGTTAAAATGACAGATTTACATGTATAACAAGATATTACTGCCTTAAATGTACGCCTTGACACCCTGAAAAAGAAACAACTCTATTCAATGCAAGAACTATACATGCCAGATAGAGAACATCCTATACAAGTTGTAAATACCACGGATTATATCATCAATACTCCTCCTCACAGGACTCAAAGAATGGCTCTCCCACAGAGGGTCCGTCGTTTTATCCATGAAGATGATTACCATTGACCCATGATACTGAGCAACCTCCCTGATGAAGAAGATTGGGTAACACCAGAACCCTTCTATGTTTACTGAGAAAATCATCGCCCCCAATTAGGGAGACATCTTATATAACAATCTAATGTAAAAATTATGCTATATTTACTATGGCAGGACACTACCTGTAAGAAGCCATTGTCAAGTAATTCTATAAACTGGCCAGGAAATCATTGCCTTCATTGTCGCTTAAATATCCGTTGTGCAATCGCGCAAAAAAAAAAAAAAAAAAAAAAAAAAAAAAAAAAAAAAAAAAAAAAAAAAAAAAAAAATTGCAACTTGTATAATTACTACCAATTCAGAGCCATGTACTTATATATCTGCTATATCTATGTGACTATGGGTCAGTATTATACCCATTCAAGAATATCTTATCATTTCACATACACTTTTTAAATTACACCAAAGTGGTTGGGCCACTTACCTTTTATATCCTACCTCTCTCCCCCCTCCTACCTTTCCAATATTTCTATCCTTACCCATCCTTCTTCCTTCCCCATCTTACCAAAGCTCTGGTCATAAGAAGAAGAAGAAGAAGTTCCATTTGTGGGCGCAGAAAGAATTTCCCCAGCTCAAGCTGCTGCCTTGTTGTGAGTCAGCAGGGAAAACCTCCCGCCATCCCCTTGCCACCCCCGACACACCCGCCATCCCCATCCCAGCCTTCGGGAGTATGTGTCCCGTACGAATGCCCCTAGGGGCTAGTTGTGTTTGTGAATTGCGTTTTGATCTTTTAATTGCCATATCTTGTATCTCTGTCAGCAGATGGGTCTATGAGGATGAGGTGAATCAAAGAACTGATGAGGGAAAAGGGAAAGTGGTGCACTTAGGAGTCTGTGGAGACAAAGAAAGCAAAGAGAGGAATGTATGAGAGTATAGTTGTACCAACACTCTTGTATGGGTGTGAAGCATGGGGGGATGAATGTTGCAATGAGGAGGAGGCTGGAGGAAGTGGAGATGTCATGTCTGAGGGCAATGTGTGGTGTGAATATAATGGAGAGAATTCGTAGTTTGGAAATTAGGAGAAGGTGTGGGATTACCAAAATATTATCCAGAGGGCTGAGGGGGGGTTGTTGAGGTGGTTCGAACATGTAGAGAGACTGGAACATAACAGAAAAGACTTCGAGTGTATAAATCTGTAGTGGAGGGAAGGCGGGGTAGGGGTCGGCCTAGGAAGGGTTGGAGGGAGGGGGTAAAGGACTTCTGCATGCGAGGGGCTTGGACTTCTAGCAAGCATGCTGACTGTATTTGATAGGAGTGAATGGAGACAAATGGTTTTTTAGTACTTGACATGCTGTTGGAGTGTGAGCAAAGTAACATTTATGAAGGGATTCAGGGAAACTGGTAGGCCGGACTTCATTACAGCCTGTGGGTGTAATGAAGCATTAGTTTGTACAATTAAAAAGAATGAGGGGAAATATATGAATTTGTGTGATAATTGACTGACTTGACTGACTGACTTACTTACTGACTGACTTACTGACCTTACTTATTTACTGATTTTCTGACTTAAAGTTAGAAATTTTTCACTGAAAGGACCCTGACATTTGGTCTGAAACGGTGTCTAGAGCAGCTGATGCTTTACCGTCAGCTGTAGGGTAAAACAGAACAGAAATCCATTACAGAATTTATGCACACTCAAGTACCACCCTCGACTTCACCACCAGAACCTCTACCATCCACCTCAGCCCAGTAGGGCCACAGAATAACTCTCAACTCTCTTCACAATCATAGACAAACACCAGCACCCACAATTTAAGGTAAGAACTATTATTATTTCTGTTGCATTTGTAGTCTTAAGCAGTAAAAACAACATAATACATCATGACAATGAACAACAATTACATATTCACTTTTATTTTTGTAAGATCTGGAGGTCTAAAAAAAAGTAGTTTGCCTTTTTTGGGGCTCCTAGGAATGTAACCTTATTTTTCCAATAAGTTCTTCAGTTTAACATGGATTTGATTTACCTAACACATCATTTTCCGGAACGTAACTACCGTGAAATATAACGGTCTACTGTAATTTTTAAATATAAAACAGGATTTATGATTACTTTTTCCAAACATTTCAAAATTTCAGAAATCTAATGAGATGCCCTAACTATTTGGGCTTTAGGTTTGCAAACACTTTATTGCATCTTAGTTGCATTACTAAATCATATATAAAATCTCTGATATAACTGTCTTTCTCAGATTTTTTACTATCAAATATGGCAACAAAGGTTATTCTAGGCTCAACTCTGCATAAGAAGTATGTTGATCCAATCTGTAAATACAAAAAATTATTTTTTTAGTATTTTGAGTAGTCTCCTTATGGACTTTGTTAAAATATTAATTTGCATATTACTCCAATAATGTTCCATTTCCCGTGTGTGTGTACATATTTTGTATAAATAAATTGATTTGATGAATCTTTCTGTTTCATGCAAACATCCAAATATGATTGTGATCTGTACGACTGTTTTATGCAAGCATTCAATAATACAACAAATGTAATTATGATATACTAACTTGCTGATCAAAGAAATGAACAACATGATCCAACAGAGCATGTTCATTGCTGCGATCTGACACTCTCATGACAATGCTTGGGCCACCTCTCCAGAGGTTGGTCTGAAAAATACATCACAGATTTTTTACCCCTTAAATAATAAATATTGCATCCAAATTGAATTTCACTGAATTTATTTATTTTTTTTATTTATTAATTTTGCATCATACAAGGACAAAAATACAGGTAAAGCAGCATGCCAAAGCCACTTATATGCATAGCATTAGGGGCGGCTTAAAATTACTTAAGATTAACAAGCAATATGAAATCAGTGATAAAACATTATTGTAAACGATCTAAAAGCACAAATGAGTATTAAAAAAGACAGGTCATATGGTTGCATGCTTTGCTGTACATTCAGTCGAATGGAGTTTTCTGTTGGGGGATGTTTTTAAAAAAATAAAAAGTTAGAATGGGCCTAGGTTTAAATTTGTGTGATATAATTGTGAGTAACTTTTAGGATAAACAATTTATAAGGGTTTTATTTTCATATTTATTTGGTTTTGATAGTAAGTTCTTTGAAAAAAGTTTTAAAATTTTATAAACAGTGTGTTTCTTTTATTTTACGGGTAATAAGCCCAGATTTTAGGGCCTTTTATTGCATTGATTTTTTTCTAGGTGAGTGGACACAGGAACACAAAGAGTGATCTGTCCCTTTGTGTTATGGTCAGTGTTTGTTGGGGTTGGAAAGGGAGATTTTTGAGGGGGGGTTAATATCAGAGTTAAGTGTTCTATGATATAATGGGCAATAAAAAGTATGGATTTTTTTGTAGGGTGAGTAGGTTAGTTTTTGAATTTGGGGGATGTGCTGCCTGTATGAGAATTTTTTATCATTTTAACTGCACCTTTTGTTGGGTAATTAGTGGTCCTGAAGGTTAATTTTGTTGACCCCTGCACAAATTCCATAGTGAGATGGGGTAAATAAGAGTGTATAAAAGGGGCCAGGAGGGCGACTGTGGAACTAGTACCGTATCTTCGATAGTATGCCTACAGTCTTGGAAATTTTCTTAGAAATTTGTTGAAAATATTTATGAAATTTGGTCTATTGTCAAGGTGGATTCCTAAGAATTTCCCTTGTTAGCTTTGTGATAGGTGATCTTTTATCGTTATTTAAGGGGTCATCGTAGTCTTTTTCCCAAAAACTGAATGAAGTAGGTTTTGTCAATGTTTAGTGAATTTTGTTAGTCCCCCCCGGGTAGTTTTTTCTGTAATTCGGTATTTCAGTATGGCTAGCGTGACGGGGGCTGGGGTGAGAGAAGACTAGTAGTGTCATCTGCAAAAAGTGTGGGTTTGAGTAATTGCGAAGCTTTTGGGTAGGTCATTTATGTATGGAGAAAGAGAAGAGGGCCAAAGCCCTTTCCCTGTGGGACCCCAACTGAAATTTGGGTTTGAGCGGAAGATTTTTCCCATTTGCGTAACATATTGCTTTGTTGCTGGGGTATACTTGGGGTAGTTGGGGGAGTGCCCTCTAATACCTAGGTGACAATTTTACGGGGAGAAGTATGGTCAACTCATCAAAAGCTTTACGAAAGTCAATGAAGACCTCAGTGGGACTTCTTTTTTTCTCATTGCAGGTATTATGTTCTAGCATGTGTATAATAGATCATTAGTATTTTTTTGGGGCCTGAATCCAAAATTTGGCAGGGGTTAGTTTTTTGGGGGAAAAGAGGTAGGAGTAATTCGTTTATGAATTAATTTTTTGAAGATTTTTTAGAAGGGTTAAATTGGTATTGGCCTAAGTTATTCAACCTGTTTGGGCTCCCCCTTTATGGGTCGGGGTGACCCCTTTCTATTTTTAGAGCTGTAGGGGAAGGTGGAGGGTTCAAAGATTTTTTTAAAGAGGTTTCAATGATTGGTGATTGTAATTGTGACCTTTTTTTGTATATAAAGGGGGTTAAAGGATTTAAATCTCCCCTTGTTTTTTTGTGCGTTGATAATAAGGGAGACTTCGTATGGGTTTTTGCGAGTAGGAACCGTGTTTCGGGGAGTTGCCAGTGAGGTAGTCATTTGGTGGGGTATCTGAGCTTGGGGTTTTATTGGGAAGGTTTTGTCCTATGTGGAAAGAAATCATTGAGTCTGTTTTCTGTTTTTTGTTTGGTGGGAGTTGGGGGTTCATCGATTTTGCTAATTTTTTTTCGCTATTTTGTGATATCTTTTTTGTTCCAAATTTCTGATAGGGTCTTCCCGGTCTTTTTTATATCACCTCGTAAGTTGGGGTAATCTGTTCTCATAATACAATTTTTTGCCCTTTTTATCAGGGGTTAGATTACGAGTAACGTTTTGTTTGGTCCTGGTATGGACCCCGTTGTACTGTTTTCATACGGTGTTTTTGTATTTATGGATTTGAGAATGCTGGGGGTTAGCCAGGGGCTGTTCAGTCTCTTACGTCATCTGTTAGTTTTTAGGGGGTGCTTGTTTTTAAAAGGTATTTGGGGCTTTTTTAGAAAATTATTAAAACATTCGTCAAATCTGTATATATTTCTAGCAGGCTGCGTGAGCGTGTTTGTGGAGTAATGGGACAAATGGTTTTTAATACTTTACGGCTGTTGGAGTGTGAGCAAAGTAACATTTATGAAGGGGTTCGGGAAACCGCAGGCCGGACTTGAGTCCGGAGATGGGGAAATCAGTGCCTGCACTTGAAGGAGGGGGGTAAATGTTTCAGTTTAAAAAATGTAGTGTAAAGACCCTTTGGCAAGACAGGATGGAGTAATGTGGTGAAATTTTTTTTTTCGGCCCCCCCGCCTTGGTGGGAATCGGCCAGTGTGTAATAAAAAAAAAAAAATATTTTTAGTCGTGTGCCAGTCAAAAGTTTTTACGTGTTTTGAATTATTAATGGCTGCCCCTTGTGAAGTTCTGAAGGTGACTTTTGTAGTGTCCCTTGGGGTATTTTCCAAGAGTTTTATAGGAAAGTAGGGTAGTGGCTGTGGTTTTTCGTAATTAGCCTATTTTAAAGGGGATATGGTGTTTTGGGCCAGATGTGGGCAAGTAGGGAAAAACTATCTCCGTAACTCTTGAGGTTTTGTTTCTGTTGGAGAACATGCAGTTACTCATTGTGTTTTTAATCAGTAATGTGTGGGTCCCGGTCTTGCGGAGATTTATATGAAGTCACCTGAGATAGTAAATGATCTTTGTTCATTTCTCTTCCTAGGTTTTTACTAAATTGGTAATGTTTGATTGTGGAATCTGTAGATGTTTATCACTGTGAGAGGTTTTTGTAGGGATTTGGGTTTGAATTTTGCTATTATATATTCCCCATGTTCTTCCTTGTGCAAGTATTAGTGATACATTCTAGTTGGTCTGAGTAATATATAGCTGTGCCACCCCCTTGTTGGTCTGGCCTACAGTTGTGTATGGCTGTGTAACCAGGAATGGCGTAGACATCTGTAGTATCGGGCTTTAGCCAGGTTTCAGTTAGTGTAATGAGGGACATATTGGCATGCAAGGAATTTAGTAATGCTAGGAGGTCATCGAATGCTTGCTTAAAGATCTGAAAATTGTGGGTTAAAGATATTTAAATGTTGTTGAATCTTCTACAGTGCATCAAAGTAATACAAACTATGTTGCATAGAAATCACATCTGTTTCATCACAGACAAAAGTGTTAGAAGAATGCAATGGTTTACAAAAGATGTAGCATGTGCTACAATAACTGAAAACCTATGTAATGAAGAAAAGAAAACCTCTAACCTAGCCCTGCTCCTGTAGCTGCAAAAAAATATACTAATTATCATGTCAAAACCTGTTTTTTTATTTTTATGGTTTGGGGAAGATACCAGTAAAGAAATAACAATAATAAGTAATAATAAAAACAATAAAACAATAATAATAATAATAAAAATAATAAAAATAAAAACAATAATAAATAAAAATAATAAATAAAAACAATAATAAAACAATAAATAAAAAATAATAATAATAACAATAATCCTAGGTAGTAGGCTGGTAGACAGCAACCACCCCGGAGGTACTACCATCCTGCCAAGTGAGTGTAAAATGGAAGCCTGTAATTGTTTTTACATGATGTAAATTGCTGGTGTCTTTTTTCAGTCTCATAAACATGAAAGATTTCAGGTACATCTTGCTACTCTAAATTACACTTTGGTCACACACACATACATGTACAAGCCCCATATATACACACCCCTCTGGGTTTTCTTCTATTTTCTTCTAGTTCTTATTCTTGTTATTTCCTCTTATTTTCCATGGGAAAGTGGAGCAGAATTCTTCCTCCATAAGCCATGCGTGTTGTAAGAGGCAACTAAAAAACCGGAGCAAGGGGCTATAACCCCCTCCCCCTGTATAAATTACTAAATTTAAAAAGAGAAACTTTTGTTTTTCTTTTTTGGGGCCCCCCTGCCTTGGTGGGATCTGGGCGGTTTGTTGGAAAAATTAAAAAAAAAAAAATATATATATATGTTGAAAGAAAAAAAACATATACAGCAGGGCCCCGCTTACGGCGTTTCGCTTTATGGCGTTCCGCTAATACGGTCATTTCAAATTATGGGCCAAAACTCGATATACGGCTCCCCCCACCTGCTTTCTAATACGGGCAACGCGCCCCACCCGTTTGTTTACATTCACTGTGAGATCCGTAAGCCCTAAGTCTCTCCATTTTGTCTGGAAACTCCAAAATTTTAAGTGTTTTTAAAATTTATTTCATATTTTATACAGTGGACCACCGCATAGCGCCCTTAATCCTGCAAGAGGGCTGGCTGTTAATGCGAAATGTTCGGTATGGGGAAAAATGAATTTTCCCCATAAGAAATAATGGAAAATAAAATAATCCGTGCAAGACACCCAAAAGTATGAAAAATTTTTTTTTTAAACCCACAAAAAAATTTTAAATTTTTTTTAGTACACACAAAAACTGAAAAAGGCATGCACAATTACATGACACTTACTTTATTGAAGATCTTGGTGATGATTGATGGATGGGAGGAGGGGAGAGAAGTGTTAGTGTTTAGAAGGGGAATCCCCTTCCATTAAGACTTGAGGTGCAAGTCCTTTTTCTGAGGTTTTCCCTCTTCTTTTAATGCCACTAG